TTAACACCAAAGTGAAATTTAAAAAAATCAATAATAATACAATGAAAAACGATAAAACTCCGATTAACAAAATTTCCCATATTTTTATAATACGTTTCGATACTTTCAAGATTTTGGTGACTTATTTTCGATATACAGTTAGCTTTGTTCTACTTTCAGCAATTAATATTCTCTATAAAGCTTATTTTAAAATTATATATTTAAATATAAAAACAGTTCTAAAAATATAATTTCTGCTCATCGACTTTGCTATTGTGTTCAACAAAATACGGTTCTATTTGAATTTGGACGTCCATGACACCTCCATAGAGTCCGCCCATTCACTTGTATACACTATTTGTTCCATTGTTTTTCTGCAACCGAATTCTGATTGGCAAAGGAATGTATATAATACAGTCTGTACAGTTTGTGTTTCTTTCGGTCAAAATACATCCTGTGTGATTTGTTATCTAAAATATCACGCGGAGTACATTCGCCTTAAATGACCAATAAAAATAAATTTAATTAAACAATTAAATATTTTAAGGTTTTCTTTAATATTTTTAATAATTATATTTTTATTGAGAAGCACAAATTATATAGCTAATTAATATTTAGTGTTTTGTTAAAAATCTATGGTGGAACTGTCTATGGAAAGTAGCTACTGTTATTCATGGCAATACTCCAAGCTCTGCTTGAATCGCGATAAAATATAAATTGCCTGTCATCAGTATACTTAGAATTTATATTTTATTTTTAACTATAGGATCCTTTTTCAAACATCATTTATTTATTTTAATATTAGTGTTGGGGGTTCGCAGTAACCTGTGATTACTTATCGAAGCGTTAACGATTAGCTTCATAATTGCCTACTCAAGTATCAAAATTATATTTGCACCAATCACAATCATGTAACAGGACAGTGCCAATTACTGTAAAATAGGCTTTATGTAACAATAATTTTAAACAACCATTTATGTAACGGGGTAGTAGCGATACGAGTTTATCGTGTCTAGTGTGTTCCCAATTTTATTGGAGTAACGCTACAATTAATAACTGTTCGCTGTTGTAACCGAATATTTCGTGTGAGTTGTAAATTTTGAAATGGCCGAGTTATAGGGGTTGACTAGATTAGTTGTGAAGTTTATTATCGAATGCGTGAGGGCTTATAGGCTATAATAATGTTAATCGATGAAACGGAATAATCTCAATACGATTAGAATACGGATTTTTGTCAATAGTTTTATTGAACTGAATAAAGAATAATGTACGACGGAAAATGTTAATGTAAAGTAATTATTTCTAAATTTAAGATAAACATCTCAAATAATTTAAAAAAGCATTCCCGTGGCTGTGTTGACCATAATTTAGTCATTAACTTTTTTACAAAATAAAATTTTGTTACAGTAACAAATTAGTCGGAAACCAACGAGGTTGGGTGTACCTACATTAAAATATTTGACCTTAGTGAATACTAATTGAAACTTGTCTTTGTATTTGAAAATCTCTATGTAAACAAGTAAACAAATCCGAGTTCTCATAACACAACGTAAGCTACCTTGTGAACCGGAGTCGTGGGGACAGGGCAGGTCGAGATACTATCAGACACGATCCCGGGACGTACACGGGACTAACGGACTGCCCAGGTAATGTACTGACTGAATACACAAGATCGGAGTCAAAGAACTATGTTATACAGAAGAGCGCCATTTAGTACGTATATTTTGCAGACTGTCGTACTGCGCTATTTTAAAAGTACAGTTTATTCCGACAAAAAATATTCTGTACATCTGCCCTGCCTTAATAAAAGAGCTAACCTTGTTCTTTTTTTTTTTAAACTTATCACAATCGGTAAATAAAAACAATTATTTGTCAAAGATGAATGCGAATCAATTAATAAGATTGTATGTTATCGCTGAATCAAAGAATCCTTCATCAAGCGGAAGCCTCCTATACTCTCACGGACTCGAAAATATCTTAATATTAACAAGAAAATTATCTTCAATTCCGTGCCGAGTACATGGATGTAATTATGTATTTTAAGCGATTGTTATTTACAGACAGTCGTAATTAAGGGCTGAGGCCGTTTTAACAGCCAATAAAGAGTGAAAAAAATAATTGTTCAGCAGTTGTACGTTGATTAAATTGAATTATGATCGTAAATGGAACTACGAAAAACAAGATGATTCGTTCTCGAGTTCTTTCGAAAAAATATCCATGTCTTCGTTAAGGGCCTGACCAGTCTGAGACGTTCGAATTATCAACGAATACATTCTGTTTTTATCGTCGCATCTGCCTTTTATAACGTTTGTAGTTCGCAAAGGCATGTTTTAATTAAGTGAGAAACATTGCATGGAAGTGACCATTATTATTAATTGAAACTGTTTATTAGTTACCGAGTTCTACAATGCTCTCTCTGTTATCTAGTTCATTAAGGCGAAGATTAAGGCATTATTTCTATAATCATATTATATTTACACCGTTCTATAGGAGAACGAACGATACGTGTGTATTAAGAAATAACCGCCTGTAAGATATTGCTTCAGCGATAAGACCGCTCGTTTATATATTATCCGCAATACGTATTTGAGAAAAGTCGGTAAGTTTATACAGTATTATCATATATAATTATTATTTGCATACGTTCCCTCTTAATTTTGTTAAGAGCGCAATTTATCTCGACGTGAACACACGGCCCGCGTACATGCTTCAGTAAAATTAACTTGTTCAAAAACGGCACACGAAGCGTGCTTGTGCCGTGGCAACCAATAATTTTTCGTATCGCCTAAATAATTATCTGTTATCGTCGAATTGGCAGGCCGGGTCGGGGACCCCAAAGATGGCCGACTCCAGACCGGCAGCGGAACAGGTACGCCGTGATTCATGTGATTCAAATATACATTTTTATGTGCTCCACAAAATTGATCGGTCATTTTATTTTTTGAAAGTTTAAGCTGTGAATGCTCCGAAAGTAGGTAGTATGGGTTTAAAGTTTTCTTGAGATTTACGTAAAACCTTTAACCTTATTTCACAAACAAAGCGCTCCTACTTTTTACTGGTGGTAGGACCTCTTGTGAGCCCGCACGGCTAGGTACCACCACACTGCCTATTTCTGCCGTGAAGCAGTCATGCGTTTCGGTTTGAAGGGTGGGGCAGCCGTTGTAACTATACTGAGACCTTAGAACTCATATCTCAAGGTGGGTGGCGGCATTACGTTGTAGATGTCTATGGGCTCCGGTAACCACTTAACATCAGGTGGGCCGTGAGCTCGTTTACTCTTCAAAGCAATAAAAAAAAGCCTCCCATTTCCCTAGCTTCTTAAATACCCAGCTACATATTTGTGCATTTCTCAACGGAACACTACTGCTAATTTAGATACATAAGCCATTATAACAGCATATCAGCAATCCTCAACAACAAGAGATCATTTATGAAATACTTTCAAATTTTTACTTTACTTAATTTACGTGTGTTAATATTATCTTCGAAATCCCGAGACACGTTATTATATAGGTATACTAATTTGATAAGTTGACACGTATCTACGTATGATACAATTAAAAAATATCTCGACGTCAATAACGAAACCAAATCAGAGCAGGTAATAAGTATTCGGAGACTTCCTTTTTCCGACGGTCCGGTTGAACGAGCTACGGAATTTATTTTTAACGTTTGCTTAACTCTGCTTTCGTCCCGCGCGTCATACGTACCTATATATATACGTATCTTAGTGTATTATGATCAATTTTATTAACACTTCCCACCGTTTTATCTCCCAACAGTCGATAGAGTAATTACATGTAGCTTATTAAACTTTGAAGGCATCGCTGCGTAGGGATTCTCCTAACCATTGATCACTTAATTATGTTATGTAATATGGTTAACTGGTGTTCGTTATAACAGCGCAGGAAACCGGTTAATTTCATTTTTGAAGTACACTAGATAATGTTTCGTCGAGCCGGACTTTCGGTATTCAACGGGTTCCGAGCGGAGACGGCCGGTTAACATCAAAGGGCATTGGACTTAGTAAATTAAAACATCGCAAAACAGTCACAGGCAGTAGAAGTTTTGCGGGCGACTTCAAAAATGGCATCGCATCGACTGGTGGCGGCGATTCAGTTTTTCGCGACCGTCTCCACTCGATAAATAATGGCGGTGACTTTGACAAAAACTCACCTAGTCTTGTTCGATGGGCTGCCGCGCGTTCCCCCCCTCCGCATGCCCCTGTCCACCCCCTCATTCGTCTCGTGCTCGCCCCGCACTGGCTCGTTGCTTTTTCTCCTCATTCCACGGCGCCGGCGCATCGCGAACCGCTCACTTCCATCAATATCAATGTTACCCTAACTATTTACAACGCTACCGACTAAATAAGAACTACTTATATTTATGGCAATTTGTTTAACTTCACCGACTATTTAAACTGCAGGAACACGATTACTTTTACACTATACTTATGCGAGAGTATTGAAGGATTTAGGATGGCGCGGAAAATTGTTTATTTCACTGTTTAATTTACAACTCCTTTATTTACTTAGCTTTAAGGGTACGAGACCGGGTCTCTTTGGTAGGCATATAATATTTGTACAATGTAACTGTTCGTGTCGCCGGCGCTGCCGAGAAAGCGCCCTACGATCGCACATATCAATACTACGGTACACCTACGCACTATATTACACGGAAGAGATTTCTACAAATTGCACTGGTTTCCGAACGCGAACATCTTCGAAGGTCACGCGAATAAAATTATTTAAAATAAATCAACAAAAACAAATTAATCGACACTCAAAAATAATACGACCCGTTTCTATTCTAGCATCCAACAGTTTATTGTTCGTATCAATTAATCATCGATCAAAAACATTACATTAAAATTAATTTAAAATAATCACAACAACCGAACAACACTTAAATAACGAAAAAAAAAAAACGAATTACAAAACAATTTACAAAAACACAAAGCTAGAGTGTTCGGCGGACGCGGTACTATCACTCGACGACGACAACGCGACGGTTCAAATGTTTTAATGTTCGGGGTGTCCCTGGGCAGCAGCCGCGGCCGCCGCAGCAGCCGCCGCCGCCTTCTGCGCCTGCGCCTGTTTCTCCTGCTCGTTCAACTCCTTTATAGCCTGGATCTCTTTCTTTAACTTCATCCTTCGGTTCTGGAACCATATTTTGATTTGCCTCTCCGTGAGGCACAACGCGTGCGCCATCTCTATGCGTCTCCTCCGCGTAAGGTAGTGGTTCGTGTGGAACTCTTTCTCTAATTCTAGCGTTTGATATCTTGTGTAGGTTTGTCTTCCTCGTCTCCTGAGGCCGTTCGCTCCTGTAACAATAAAAGCAACGATTAAAAATTCCGCTCATTATTATTTCCAGTCGCAGACCAAAATGGGACTCGTGGCGACAGACCGACGTTCTCCTTTCAGTGAAGCGTTTGAATGCTGAATGGGATTGCTTGTCTCGCAATGGTTATTTCCTAAATGACGTTACAATTGCCGGTGACGACAGCTTCATTTCGTTTAAAACGTCGAAGCAGATAAACCGAGCTGAATCCCGCCTTTGAGCATTCCGACCGAATCGAGTACTGGCTGCCAATGCATTTACCGACATAATAACATAAGCAAGCAATGGCGCGATAATTTGCATTAAAACGATATGATCACAATTAACGATAACATAAGTGGAACACAAGAAGTTTTTTAAGCGGAGCAAAATAATGATTTCTTCCTAATTTTAGCTTCAAAGTGATCTGAAAAACATAATTAAACAATATTGATACTCCTTTCTTGGCTGAATGCCTTCAGAATTGAGTACTGAGAACGCGATGCGGACCTCGTAAGCTGAATAAGAAGCCAGCCTACACGTGACTCGCGAAAATTTAAAGAATACAGACAGGGCTGTCCCATCTTAAAAAAATATATTTTACTGAGGCATAACTTTCATCCGTTTCATCAATATTTGTACATGGCATAAATTGAGTTTTGAAATACGCCTTAAAGAAAACAAGATACAAAACACAGTTATCTTTATAAAACGATGCGACAGTGTCGTTGACAAGCAGAGATAAACTAACTGGCATCCGGATCTATAGATATCACATGAAGATTACTGCCGACTACTTACAAGCTTTACGTCAATGTTTTTCTTGGATTAAGAATTACAACTTCGATATGGGAGACTACATTTGCAGAAGAGAATTCGGAACTCATAACATGTACCCTAGCCAAATATATTTCACTATTGTTTAAGTTTCAATTTTCATAACTCAAAAAGCAATAGTGAAGTTCAGCGTTGGTACTTAAATTAATCGCGACAGAACGGACAGCCCTATCGTTGTTAAGCCTGCAGCGGTTATGTAGAAGCGTTCATTGCATGCCGCTTACATTGCGTGATCGTCGACGTAATAATATATAGGTTTCGGAACGCATGCTGAGATTTCATGCTTATTTTTTCTCGTTTTGTGCGTTGGAAATACCTAAACCAGATTGAGACCAATCGGGTCTTAATTTAAATTTATTTTTATTTCATTTGTGAACGAACGGAAGGCGAAAAAAAATTGACAAATATCGTCGGTGATGAGATTATTCTGGAATTAAAAAAAAGTTGTGGTGTCGTGGGACACCGGATAGGAACGAAGTTCCTTATTATAAAAATATTAATTTTCAGTTCTATTCGAGCTATAAACAAAACAAAACTGGAGGTTTCGCAACAACCCACGGTCATTCGGTAACGTGCGAACTTATTGTGGTACACTTCATTCACGGTTGTTTGCATAAGAGTTAGTGTAGGTATTGCGCAAACGAACGCTCTGAGATCGTGGTCAATTAATTTAAAATAATCACATAATTTGATAAAAAAATATGTTATTTTTTGTACGTTATTCCAAAGTTAAGTCGTATACTGTGTGCATTACTAATAAAAATCTTACGTTACGGACTTTTTTCCCGGTAAGAGTACCCCTCCACATCGTCCCATAAGGAACTTCGTTCCAAAAAACGTCATATTATTAACTTATTCATTGCTTTTTTTTTTGTTGAAAGGAAAATTATTAATTATTATCCATCTTACAATTTAAATGAATAGCCTTTATAATATAAAGTCTGCTCTGAAAACAAACAATATATCAAATCCCATATAAAACGGTCCCATTTTCAAACAACGAAAACGAACAAATAAATACGATTGTAATATAAATATGTGTCAAAATCGACCCACTCAAGTTAGCGATAAAGGAACACATTGCCTGGCTTACTGAACGAAAAAGCTACAAAAATAGTCCGTGACTAAGCGGAGCTCTTCTCACAATACTGAAGGGTTGAGAACCAATCTAATGGCTTAATTATCTCAAGTACTCAGATCGAGGGCACATTAAAAGCACGACGTTGTATCCACACAACTTTCTTCATCAGGCCTTATCTATTCCTTTTAAGTTGTAACGGGTTTGAGCCGTGAGAATGTGCCATGAAAAATACATTCATTGTTTACTTATATGCAATACAATATGATCATTAGGTATTTAATTTCGATGAATGATCAATTATGAGATAGGTTAACGAGGCTTGTCCTGAAAGACATAAATAAGCGTAATGATGTTTTCTTAAGGCTACGGTGCTTTTCGAGAAAATTGTTTTAAAACCCTGCGAATATTACAACCAGTTGTAGCGCAGTAGTAATATTTTTTAAATCGAAGAACATCAAAGTGGACCTTATACGGTATTCAATATTTATAAATTATATACTTATTTGAATAGATTTGAATATTTGTTATATTTAAATAACAATTAAAATAAAGTAATTATTCATTTTTGTGTACAAAATAAAGTCGCTCTACTACTGGAGATAACAGAAAAGAGGTTTTCAATGTTTACCCACACATCTAATACAATAAAAACAAAAATAAATTCACAATAGGTGGCTGGGTTTTGTGGTGTAGGTATATTATTTGACTTTGATCACCGCTAAACATAATTTGTATGAGTGTGAATGACGTAAGCTCGCGTCTGTAAGGAAAATCTCGTTAGAAATTTCATTGAGTGCGATATTTAAAAGAAAAAACGGAATCAATCACATCACATTATCCACATACTTCTACAAATCACGTAGTAAATACCAAACCAACACCAGGCAGGTACAATACAATGTTGCAGAGCTCATTGAATAAAGATATCTCGTTTGAGCCATAATTCAGGTTTCCCGGTACACAAACTTAAGTGCAACCTTTTTAATAATTAACAAAAATTCCCGTTGCCGGAGTAGTGGTTAATTGAGTGACGCTAATTACCTTAACCGTAAAAGCCTCCTGGAAGCAAAACATAAATATAAAGCGGCCTTTATTTTCTTTATGTGAATTTGGGGGCTGGCACTGATTAATACGAACAATAATAGTGACGGTCACGTTTTTTTTTTTAATTCAGATACATTGTTGCGAGACGTTTTAATTACGAGCACACACTACCAAAGTGTAGGTGTAGAATGTAATACTTAATGTATTAATAAGTTTCTACTGGTGGTAGGACCTCTTGTGAGTCCGCGCGGGTGGGTACCACCACCCTGCCTATTTCTGCCGTGAAGCAGTAATGCGTTTCGGTTTGAAGGGTGGGGCAGCCGTTGTAACTATACTTGAGACCTTAGAACTCATATCTCAAGATGGGTGGCGGATTTACGTTGTGGATGTCCATGGGCTCCAGTAACCACTTAACACCAGGTGGGCTGTGAGCTCGTCCACCCATCTAAGCAATAAAAAATAAAAAAAAGTCATTATTGTATCTTTGAGATAGTAAAATGTTTAGTCATATATAGAATCGTTTAGGCCACAGAATCTTACATGATTAGTAGACGGGTTCTGGACTAATCGAACTTGTATATATTTAGTATTTTATTCGATCTTCGTGAGTTTATAATACAATTAAAACTACTTTTACGGACATGAAAATCGTCCGCGATCTCAAAAAGTGTTAATTAAATATTCGAAATGCTGGAAATAATATAATGACATTATAAGACACGAGATTAAGCCGTAAAAGTTATTTATATTCTAAAATTTCCCCTTCATTCCACAGTAGGTATTATTTTTATAGTCTTATTTTCTCACTTAGTGTCATACGGACTTATGACAAGAATGTACAATATGCTTCCATTAGAACAGTTGTTGCTCTAATGTAATGGAGATTTTGACTTTATGTCTTGTCTCCCAGTTAGTGTCAAGTGGACCTATAGACTTATCTGCCTACAAGTAATATATAAATAAATCGAGAACAAATCACACACGGTCATCTGGCTTCCAACTAGGCATCCCAGAAGTATGTGAACCAGAGATGGGTTCATAAAACAGAGACACATAAATATACTTATGTTCTTTTTTAATATACACATGTTTAGATGGGAAATACGCATAGCTAAAATGAATGCTTATAATAAAAGTTACAGCTTTATCTCTTGTAAAATATATCTAAAGACTGTATACGAACCGTCGTGTTTTAAATAATGTCATAATAAAGAATTGATGTTTATAAAGATGAGCGCATCCTAAGCTGGAGTTACAAAAACGTCACCAAGGCGCACGTGTGACAACTAATTAGACCGCTACTACGGTTCCAGTGTCAATTTTCTCCTTGTAAATTAACCTCAAGATCCGGAGAGCGCTGTAAAAGCAATAAACATGACATAAACGGCTTCATTAAAGGCGTGGGCGGAGTTTGCAGAATGACAAAAAAGCGTGTAGTGTCAGTCGCGGCCTTAATATTTATATAATGAGAGAAAATGTTTCCGCTATGCAAGTCAAGAGCTTCGAAGATGTCATCTGCGTACGCATTACGTGTTCCGGCGTAGGGGCGATGTCGTAAGACCATTCGTATTGCCATCAGCGCCACAAAAAAGTCGTTCAAAGGTCGGTTCGCATTTCAAAAGGCTTATTTATGATCGTTTTTACTATCATATGTGTCGTTATTTGCTATTAAAATACCGATATAAATTCTTATTTTATACATATATTTAAGAAAGTCGTTATTTTGCGTAAAAACATGCTATTTTGTGGTTATATTACAATGGGCTGTGTCAATTTACAAGCTTTGTTCATTAACAAATTATATCCTGTTATACATGAAGTAGTTTTGAAGTAGTCGTGGCCCAAAGGATAAGACGTCTGGTGCATTCGTATCTAGCGATGCACCGGTGTTCCAACCTCGCAGGCGGGTACCAATTTTTCTAATGAAATACGTAGGTACAAATGTTCACGATTGACTTCCACGATGAAGGAATTATATCGTGTAGTAAAAATCAAACCCGTAAAGCAATAATTTGCGTAATTACTGGTGGTAGAACCTCTTGTGAGTCCGCACGGGTAGGTACCACCGCCTTGCC